GCAATTTGTCCCGAGTAAAAATTGAGTACCCAAAACTTGAATTACTTCGAACCAGCGACCAATAATCAGGAGTTCGGTTTCGAAACCAAACATCCGACCTGTCACTCGACTAATGTTCGATAATTCAAATCGGAGCTAACTCTAAAAAGAAAAAATAATATATATACATAAATACTCGGGAACCATCGTTTGAGATTAAACCAACAAAACAAAAAAAAACACGTCCGAATTCGCTAGAGTATTAACACCTTACAAAAGAAAATCAAAGGACAATATATAATAAAAGACAGCAGATGCACCGTCCTCACTCCTCGGCTCGCTCATCGCCCGCCCCGACTCCCGGTGAAGCATCCGCTTGCTTATCTTGCTCTTCCGGACTTACTGGGTCAGGCCTTGCCTTGTCACTATCGACGCTATTTCCCCTCCGTCTTGAGCCTCCCGAACCAGAGCCGCCGGCTTCCCGGGACGATCCCGTGGCGGATGCCTCGGCATCTTCTTCTACCGAATGTCTCGGAGTACGAAGGCGCGTAGCGGCCGCCGGACTTATCAGATTTAAGTTGGAACCATGCGGACCCTCAGCGAGCTCTTTCTCGAAATCCGCCACAAGCATGTCAAGCAGGTCTTGGTCAACGAATTCCGATTCTATATTAAACGGAGATACCTCCACATCGGGTTCCGTCAACGGACCCACGTCCAACCGCTCGGCTTCAGCAAACCAATGCTCTTCCTTTTTACGGAAGTATTCGATCCTCTCCTGCGGAATCGGATCTCCTCTCTTCTGTAGGAGCTCGAGGCATTTCCGAGTACCGAATGCCTGACTGTAACGCAGCCGAGTGTCGTCGAACGCCGGAAAGGAAGCCTCCCGATTGCGGATCCGCTCCATTTTGATGAACATCTTGGTGCACATCACGGCAGTCACCCTGGCTCGCTCTTTGGTAACTTCGAAAACTCGGGACTCTCTCAAGCGAGCAGCTTCCTTAGCGTGTGCCTCGATAAGTTCAAGCCTCTCGCGCTCCAACCGGAACTTATCCAAAAACAAGGCGGCCTTCTCCTTCTCGACTTTAGCAGCCGCATCCCTCATGGACTTAAACCTGCTCAAAATGTCCTCAGCTCGCATCGACTTGACCTCAGCAAGACGGAGGGCCTCCTCCTTCTCCGCCTCAACCCGCTTCAAAGAAGCCTTCAGCGACTTAATCCGCTTCTTCCCATCCTTGACCTTCTCTCGGGCTTCGCCCGACTCGGCATACATCCTCTTAAGTTCAGAATCGTATTTCTCGACAAGGAAATTAAAGCTGCCGCCAGCCTGAAACACTCGGCGAATGCATGAATTAGAGATAGGAAGAAAGCCGACACACGAATATACCAACCAACCGAAAGGGACGAATACTTACAGTCAAGAAGTTTCGCGAAGCATCTTTGAAAGCGCTCGGAAAGACCAACTGATCTGCAGGAGGGAGGCCGCGAGGACCCCCCTTTATCTGGCCGACAAGCTCGGCACACCTAGGACCGTTAGAGATGAGTTGAGACGCCTCGTCAAACGAAAAGGAGACCCTATCCGGAAAAACGGTCTTGAACCGCCGAGTAATCGGACGCTCCACCGGAGAAGATGAAGTCCCAAGGATATAACTCGGAGGAGGGATATCGCCTTGAGCCTCCGCGACGGGATTCGGCATAACCGTCGTTCTGTCGTTCCCTCCAAGTCCTCCTCCAGACGAGGACTTAGACGATTGTCCCACCAAGCCACCCGGGAGAACGGGAAGAGTCTCGTCGGTCGCTTGGACTGTGGTCATCGTCTCTTCCGCTCGGGGGTGTTCGACTAACTCATCTCGCGCAGAAGAAACGTTCCCCGCCGCGGAGCTAGGACCGTCATCAGTCGACCCCCGAGCAGGTCTCTCGATGGATTTCTCAGTTGACCCTCTCTTCTTCTTCCTTTTCTTCTTGGCAGGCTGGTCAGACGCGGCTTGTTCCATAGCCGCGGCGGAACTGATCCCTTCACTTGGCTTCGAACCGAGACCATCACCATCCATTCTCCGTTTCGACCCTCCAGTCGGTCCCTCGGAAGATTCTTTTCTCCTCTTCTTTTTAGAAGGAGTATCGGAGACAGCCTGTGTCTCGGCAATCGGGGGATCCTGAGCGACTCCCCCATCAAGACGATCTTTGGGTTCTGCGGGATCGATTGACCCCACCTTTGGCGAATTGCCAGTTGGAGGGACAACGGCGTCGGCGGGTTCAGACCCGTCAAGGTTAAACGTATCCAGCACGTTCATAAGTCCTGCTCCTCCCAGCTCCGCGTCATCCTCTATCTCCTGAGACAAGTCCGGAATGCCTCTCATCTTTCGCGCCCGGTTGATAGCTTTTTGCTCCGCCCTCGTGAAGAGCACTGACCGTTTCTTGTCAGTCCGACTTTTACACGGTAACCTTGAGTCCCACGTACCTATACCAGATGCGCAACCAAGCAAGGGTGTTAGGCGCAGGGCACATATGAATAAAAAGGGAGGCAGATAGTGATGAAGAACCAAGAGCCTTACCGTCGTCTATGCGGTTCAGCCAACGACGTATCCTTTCCTCGCTTATCTCGGGCCACCGAAGATGTCCGAGTTCAACCAACGCTCGGGCGTTATCGTAGAACGAGCCTGGAACTCCTGTCAGATACGGATGATTCACTGCACAATAACAAGGGAGTCGGTAAGTATGCGAGAACGCGTTTACAAGAAAAAGAGTAACTATCTACCAGCATGCCAATTCCAGAACACTCGCGACCCGACATCCGGGGGATCGACAAACGAAAACTCGTCAGATCTGACAAAGAAGTAGTAACGCTGCCAATTGGTGGTCTTCGTCGGATGCCCTGTGATCACATTGTAGCTCGGTCTCATCGTGATGGAGAAGAAGTCATCATCCAACGGCTTGATCGAGGTCAGTTCCTCGAAAGCTCGGGGACAAAGAACAATGCCGAGCTCGGCTGACATCACCAGCAGCGCAACCATCAAGCGGAATGCGCCGTTTACAAACTGACTTATAGCAAGGTCACGACGAGCCGCATAGGAAGTCAAGAGTCTCGGGATCGGGAACCAGAGTCGCGTGTCCCTTTCAAAATACGCCTCGTACACACATTGATATCCCATCGGGGGCGCCCAGGGTCTCTGATTATCAGTCGGCATCAGGTACGTGACCCCAACGGCATCGAGACGCTTTAGCAGGTTCTCAATCCGAGTAGATGTAGACCACGTCGACATTATGCGCCGGTTGGAATAAGTACCGCGCTCGCGGATTACGTTTGACGGAAGTTCTGTACCCCGCTCGAAGACGCCATTTCCCAAGTAACGAGTCGGGACTGGAGGAGGACTGGCAACGACTTGAGTACGTCCGGAAGGATCCGATGTCCGAGTCTCACCCGACGCTCGAGTAGCGCGATCCCGGACGTTGATCCGAGCGGACTGCATTGGGGGATTCCTAGTCAGAATCGGGACACCGAGTGACTCGGCAGCCTCGTTACCAGCAGCCTCTCCCCTTAACTCTCTTTCCGAGTCAACTACAAGAAGTCTTTGCACAGTGTTAAGACTAGCCGAGTCGCGAAGCGCCCTCCGATGTTCTAACTCAAAGTCATCAAGCGGCTCGCCGGTTGTCTCGTCTCGCGCTACATCTTTCCCCTTCTCTTCCCGAGTCAATCGCTTTCGAGGACACATCGTGACCGGCAATACGTATATATCTTACAAACAATCTAGAGAGAGAAAGTAGAGAGAAGGGAGAGAGGATACCTGATTTCGCGGAGAAGAATAAAAGAAGTGAAAACAGGAGGGGTATATATAGGAGAAGCAGGGCGCGGATCTCAGTGCAGCATTTATTAGGTCTACGAAAACCTAGATGGGCTTTATCATCGCGACTGTTCATATTCCGCCCTTAATGGGCTGAGTCCGATATAAAGAAGCCCATCATTAGCGACGATTCACATTCCCTTCCAACGAAAGCCGAGTGGACGACTCGATCGACACTCTACTCGATTACCGAATAAAACATCGGAAACCTCGGTCAATGAAAGCCGAGTGAACGACGCGATTGACACTCTACTCGATTACCGAGTAAAACATCGGAAACCTCAGTCAATGAAAGCCGAGTGAACGACGCGATCGACTCTCTATTCGACTACCGAGTAAATCGTCAGAAACCTTATTCGGCGGAAACCGAGTAAATAGCACGATCATCACCTCCGTTCGGGGGCCGAATGAAATCAACAACGCGTTCAAATTCGTCCCGACTGGTCCACGAATCCTTCGCCTAAAGGAAGGACTTCCTAGGTCTCCCTCCACATTCCGAGTATGCTTTCCCGTAAACCTCACCGAATCAGTCTATTGACTCGTCAACCGATCGTCAATAGACTGGGGGGACTTACTGTAGGAGGTGGGCCGTACCTGCCCTTCAAGGCCCACGAGAAATCACACTCGGCCCGGCAACAGTTGAAGTCAAACCCGAGTGGCGTCCGTACGAGTATGAAAGCGGATTGTTGAGCCGACAACAGGCCCAATACTGGAGGCCCATGAACCGAGAGCGACCTAGGTTAAGACCGAAGAGCTCGAGCTATAAAAGGGGAGAGAGGCAACACAAGAGAGGGATCCGAAATTAGAAACTGGGACGGCGGCATAGACTAGAGCAAGTGGCTAGATTTATTTCGTTGTCTTTACCGACTAAAACCGAATCTCGGCACGGCTTCCGGACGCCAGGATTCTCTCTGTACTCTCTCCGTTTATAAATAAAACCCCCTGTTCACTCGGTTCATTTAGATTCGCACCTTTGTAATAACCCACCGACGAGTCCCGTCACTCATTTTACTGATACACGACCGAACTCGGTACAAACAGAGACCATAAGAAGCGTCATCCCACAAACCCGTTCTTCTAAATGGACCAGGAAAGGTTAGTCTGATCTTTATGAGTTTGTATAATGATACCTTGCATTAAGCTCTGTACAATATGCAAATATTCACTTAATTACTCTGTATTCATATGTGCCTCCTTCAGGTCAGGCAAGTGCTTGGACTTTCAACAGAGTGGCCTCATCATCCTCTGTATTTTCCTGGTTAGTCGAACAAATAAACCAAATCAGTTACTGATTTTTTTGAGTTTGCTCTTTCTTAAGAATCTCTGATGTACAACAATACGTGTGTAAACAGGAAGATTAGAGGTTCTGGATGGAGGTGAAGATGTGGAGCAAGTATTGGTTGGTCTTTTAGTCTCGATAGATTACGCATTGCCTCAACATGTCTATGCCTTGTGGAGATTTTCCAACATCTACATGAGCAGCTAAAGCAGTGGTTCTCATTCTCCCTAACCTCAAAGGAAAACTCAACCGGATCGCTCTCCGTGTACTGTGTACTGACACCAAACGTGTGTGGTTGATCTCAGTCTGCAGGTCACCAAAAAGATTTTTGCAGAGGAAGTTAACACTGCTTTCACAGACTCCACAGAGAAAGAGCTTAAAGGTATCCTCAAAGTCTGCGATGAGCCTCCTGTGTCAGTTGATTTCAGATGCTCGGATGTGTCGTCACCCATTGATTCTACACTCACTATGGTTATGGGAGATGATATGGTTAAGGTGATTGTATGGTATGATAATGAATGGGGTTAGTCACAGAGAGTTGTTGATTTAGCTGACATTGTTTCCAACAACTGGAAGTGATTTACATTTTGTACTTTATGAAACTCTTTATAACAGGTCTCAAACAATAATACTAATAATATACAGAGATGTAATGTTATACATTTTGTTTTTTTTTCTGCTAGAATGTACAATCGTGTAATGATTTTTGCTACTAAAGCCATAATAATATGATAAAGAGAAGAATGTGCCGGAGAAATTGTCTCATACTTCTCTGATATTTTTTACTAATTTACTTTAAGCCTTGAAGGGTGATGATGAGATGTCTCCCAAATAGTTTTCAGAAAAATATACCTCAGTTCCAAATAGTTTTCTGCAAAATCAACTACGTAATCCTCAAAAAAATGAGTTTCACAAAATCTTGAAATTGAATCTCTTCATTCGCAGTAACTAATATGCTACTTCTCTCATTATCTACTTCAAATAACTACTTTGTTTTCTCAACTTTTCATTTCCCAGAGATGAGAATTATGTGATTCATTATCCTCCAATCAATATGGCTTAAATCACCATGAACCAGGAACACGTGTTCTTGTGTGAGAGGCAACAGAAAGAAGACGACAAAAAGAGAAGGCAAGCTCTAACTTTTTAACGTGGTATGTGACTTAAGTTAAACCAAAAATTGTTAAACCAAAAGGTTAAATTGATTTAAACCAAATTTAAAAATTAATTAAACCAAAATTAATCTAAACCAGAATCAATACAAAGTAAACCAAAATTTATGAGAAATTAACCAAAAATTCGAGTGGATATGTCTGGTATAATAAGTATGGCCCAATCTAGTAATTAAAATTAAATTACAAGTCTGCCGTCAAAGATGAAAATTTAAAAAGTCTACCACCAAATGAATACAAAAGTCGACTACGAATATAAATCGGCTAAACAAATCGGCCATTAATATTTATGTCTATTATCCATTTAAAGTCGGTCCTACGTAAATTTAAATTGGCCTTAAAAATCTAATCTATCCAAAAGAAAACTGAAATTTTTAAAAAAATGGCTACACCAGTCGGCAGACTAAAACATATAAATCTGTTGACAACCATAAATCAGCGAGAGAAACTGGCCACCTCAAAACTATCTGCCGTGAATCTAAAATCTACCACCAAGTACTTGACAGATTTAAATTTAACAACAGTTTAAATTAACAGATTTATATACCGATAGATTTGTTTTTTCCATAAATAAATCTGCCATCGACGATTTTTTTCAAAATATAAATGGCACTTTTGTAATATTACTTTTTAGTCACAACTATAAACAAGGGCACTTTGGTCAATAAAAAAAACTTAGTAATTTTAAACTTTTATGAATTATTCTAGTAATTACTAGATTAATTTGAGTCATATTAGTAAACTTCCCTTAAAAATAAATACTAACGAATTTGGTTCTCTTTTTTTTTCTTTAACAAAAAGTTATTACCATGAGCGTGAAAACAAAAGTTATATAGATTATAGAGGATCAGATAATTTAATACAGTCAAATAATTTAAATACAGTTAACTCTTTTTACTGATTAGTCTTTTAAAAAAAAGAGAGATAATTTACTCAAATACCATATAATGAAATATTGTCACATTTCGAAAGCAACTGCCACATAAAATTACATGTGTAGATCCATGTATAACAACATTACAAACTGGCCTCTATATGAGATCTCCTTCTTACACATATCTACAAACAACTCTTAATAATTACTTTCATGCTTAGTTTAAAACCCATCCTAGTTTTTTTTAAAAGACAGTTCGGAATCGGTTTAAGGGGTTAGAATACGTAAGCTCAAAGCTCATATATGCAAGGAGAGCTTGACAGACACTGAACAGAGAACTACTATCGAATCAAGTGACCAGTAAATAAACATGTAGAAAGTTCAGTAAGTTTCTCAGTCTAATCCAAACCAATGATCTTTCCTTAGCCACGATCTCAAGACTCATAAACTTCCATAGATTTGAACCAACAAAAGAAAAACATTAATAAACCATGGATAAAGTCTTAAAGTTTTAAGGGTTTAAAATCTTAAAGCAAGAACAAACCTTTAGTCATAACCCACCAGAAGCTAATATAAAGGAACATATACTCTCTCACAACCGTTGCTCAATGCTCTTGAAACCTCACTGCAGGAGAATCAAGTTCACAAAGTTCTTTAAACTCTGTTGAAACAGCAATCTGATGAGAGAATCTGAGCACTTTCGTCTGTGGAATTGTAAATATCACGTCACCCCCATCATTAAAATCAAGTGGCCTACTCTCAGCTGCTTTAAAAACTCTCCTCCTCTCTTTATCTTCATTAAACTGCAACGCAGGCTCCGACGCTAAAACCTTAAAGTCTAAGGCGTCATCAAGAACTTCCACAATGACATGTTCATCATAGGTTTTTTCAAGGTAACCATTCCAGAATCTGTATATCGCCCACACTTCACATATATGCGGTGAGAATCTGGCTCTGAAGACCTGTTAATATCCCAGTTCTTGAATAGATCCCAGGTCTCGCCTTTCCTTGGATAAATAGTGAAATGAGCAGAGTTTCTTCCTCCTTTGTTGCAGTGGATAACATGTGAGAATAGTGAACGATCTTTAGTGTTCTGATTTTTCCCAAGCTTGGACTTACCAGCAGAAACAGGCAAATTGAAATCAGTGCTCACAACATTGCGGGTCTAAGGATTTGTGTTCAGGCCCTCCTTGATCTAGGTTGAGTCCCAGGAGCGAAAAGAGAGCCTTGGACTGGCTGAGACATAAGATTAAACTTTTGAGAGGCGGGGTAAGTGAGTGCAGTGACAACATCAGCAACGACAGGCCTTAGATTTGGCTGTTCCTGCACGCACATCGCTGCCACAGCCAACGTTTCGAAGTGATCTGGATTCTCCAAGGAAGGCTTAAATTCCGTAGCATGTTGGCACGACACAAACTGCACAATGGGTAGTCTAGTCGTAAGAACCTACAAAAAATTCAAGAAAATGTTTACAAAAAAGCTCGGTGTTTATGACAGAAGAAACCAAACTTTTGGAGGGAAGATAGTAACTTACACCACAAAAGGAATAGATGCAGAGCCAGCATGAGATCCCCCTACCGATACAAAACTCTTAACCTACATTAACCAATAATAATAATCATTACAGAGAAAACATTAAACATTACACACAGGCATGTGTTAATGGAACATACAGGGAATGCATCATCGCAAAACTCAATGAGAGCTCGACCAATCATGTTACCCTGAGAAAGGCCCACAATGCTGTAACCATCACTCAGCTCAGTCATACTTTTCACCTGTATTAGTGTCAAATACATACATTATGAATTGAATCTTCAAAGGCAAAAAAAAAAAACCTTATGCAGTTGATATTACCTTCTCGCATACAACAGCTGTCTGCACAAAAAAAAGAGAAACAAAAAAAGATTAGATGTTTATACTCATTCAAAGTTCACCATTCTTGAAACATGTCATATATATATATTACTTGATCAAGAAGAGGCATGGTCCATGAGTCTCGTGAGCCCTTCCCAATCCCCCTGTATAAACATCAACAACGGATTAAAAACACAAAACTTGAGCCAACGATTGAATACAAAAGGACATATACAGAGAGAAATATATACATACAAGCAATATCCTTGAGAAGCAGACCAATCACTTAAAAGCTTTGTGAAATGTCTTACTCCTGAGATCCCCATTTCCTGCAGAGGAACACAGCCTTTCACTTAATTTCCCAAAGATTTAGTATCTCGAAACCCTAAAAATACTCTTGAAACTTCTAACATGTAGAACTATGAAAGGAACCGAGGAAGCGATTGTAAATTACCTGAGAGAGTTTAATTACCTCGCAAAAAAATCAAACGCTCGTTACAGTCATACGCTCGCTGTCTCTCCTCTCCCTCGCCACCGCCTCTGGTCTCTTCCGAGAAATCGATGAGATCCTCTCCACCGATGAGACTTCTGCCACTGTTCTTCCTCCTTCCATCATACCATGTACGCCAGAGTCGAGGCTCTCAACCAATGCCTCTTTCCCTTTCGGCTCTCAACCCGTCGGACCCTTTTGCTCAGAGCTGTTAGATTTGGATCCGATTGTAAAGGACTCCATGCTCCAGTTCTTCAGCTGCTCCTTAGGGCAACAATCCATTCTCTTTATGAAACTAAGATCTCTGTTGTCGGAAGGGATGAGCCTCCTGATCTGCTTTGCTTCGCCGTTTTGATAGCCATGAATGGATCTTGTGTGGATCAAAGATTTGGAGTATGATTATATAAGCCAAGAAACAAAGGGAGTCAAGAGGGATATGAGTAAAAGAGGCATTCAAAGTGAGGAGGAGGTGAAACAGAGAAGATGGAGTCTTGGAAGCGAATCGATTGCCTTCTATGCTATTAAGGATTTGAGTTTGCTTCGACAGAAGTCACAGAACCGTCAAACCAAATCCTTTTCACGGAAGGACCGGTGATGTGGCCGATAGAGACTTTTTGATTGGTTGATTTAAAGTGTCTATGTGGACACTCTAATATGGCTAGAATAAGCCATTTTAATAGTAACTAGGTGACCCACCCGCACCTTGTACGGGTATAAAAATATAGTATAATGCTGTGACATGAGTATCTATTAAATTCAAATGTGGGAGTTAGTAGAACAAGTGAGAGTTTCAATGATGAGACAAGATTTGCACAAATCTCTAGAATGCAGTAGGGGTGGGCAAATCGTTACTTTTTCGGTTTGGTTTGTTTAGTTCGGTTTTAATATATTTTTTTCAACTGAAATAAACCTTATATAGTTTGGTTCGATGTAGTTTATGTCCAGTTCAAGTTATATTCAGTTCGGTTTGTTTTTGGATCGGTTTAATTAGGCTCTTTGTCGCTTAATTTTTTAAAAGAAAAATTATGTTTTAAAATATATACACATAAAGTATGTGAACTAAATTCAATATTAAACTGAAAATAAAAACTAAAAAAGTCACAAAAAGTATATAAGAATAAAACAAACGAAAGTTAACTAAAGTAAAAAAAAATTAACATCATTAGTATGTTTTTAATAAAAGTTAACTATTAAAAAAAAAACAAATGTAAGAAAAATATACAGAAGACAGTGACGTATTAAAAAATGTGATAAAAATCTCATAGATATCAAAATCCCATAGAAAATGTGATAAAAGTTTAAATATAATTCATAAGTAATATAAAATAAGAAGAACAATTATGAATAAAAAATCCTGTAGAAACCTGCAAAAGATTGTAATTTTGTTTTTAGCAATTGTATAATATAAAATAATTTAATACATTTCTAAATTTTATCAAGACGAAAATAATATTGAATTTGCATATCGCTATTGAAACAAACTGAAAAATGGTAACAAAGCATGAAATTTACATTGTAGTTTACGTGTTTTGGATGAATGATCATTTGTAATGTTCATGTCTCTGAATAACATGAATGTGAAGAAAGATTTAAGTACATATGGATCCACAGGAGGAAACGTCATAATCGTTGGTCTGCGCATATAAACTAAAATTGTAAATTAAAAACCAATAGAAAAATACAAATGAAAGCATTCTTCTCCTTCTAAGCTCTAACAAACAATCATTAAATAGAAAAATAATACCTATGAACATATTTAAAAAAGTAAAAATTATAATTCAAATAGATCTACGATTAATCAAATCATATAAAAAGATAAAAAAATTTATCTGCATCATGGTGAAATCGTTATAATAGGGCATCTGCATATAAACCAAAAGAAAAGTCAGCTCTGATGAAATATGTATATATAAAAGCTTAATGATGTAAAATAACAAAAACAGTATCAACATAAAAAGTTCAGAATAAAAAGTTCAGTGGCTTCCTTTCTCTTACTGTTAATGTCTTATATATAGTAAATTGGTGGACGTTTCTCAATGATTTAGCTTGCATGATAAGCTAATAAATATAATATTCTCTAATAAATTATTGAGAATATTATATATTCTATACGATTAATCATATGAGACACTGTATATAGAAACTATATATTAGAAATCGTATATTCAATATTAATAAGGTAAGTTAATAATAACAAACAACCTAATTAGATACAAATCGATAAATCACACTAAACAATGTAATCAATATGATATCAGGAGTGAATTTTTTTCCGTATTTGTAATAAGGAAATTTATTAATACATGTTTTATTAATTTATATTCTTGCGCATGTAATATCTAATAAGGAAAATTATTAATACATGTATTAATTATTAGTAAGGTTAGTAAATTATTAGTGATCGACCAATTAATATTCTTGGCTTAATTTCATTATTGTGCAAGTAATGTAGTTTTTAAATAAGGTAAGACATTTAATATGAAATATTATATTTGATAGATTTAAAAATTAATTGAAATAGATTAAAGAAAGTTACAACTTGTGCAACGTATGTATTATTAAAATAAGGTAAGTCATTAAAAGTAATTAACAAATTTGGAGTGTTTGGAAACGTCGATAGTTTTGTTATCAAATTACTTTTAGCGCTGAATTAAAAAATAGAAAATATATTTACAAAAATGAACCACTAAGATTAAGAGAATTAATCCTACAAGCCCTCTATGGGTGCCACGTGTCGAGAAATCACTAAAGTGACTTCTCTTTTAATGTATAGGGGGATAGATGATGCTTTTGTTTCATCTATTTTAATAAAACTGAAGTAGTTTTTAGAAATAACACTTCTTTCATCCTAAGGATTATAATTTATGGTATTGAATTAATTATTATTAGTTAATTAATTACAAATCATTTATTTTGTTAGATTATTCTCTATCTAAATTTATCATCATTCTCTAACCAACTTCTTCAATACAATTAAACAAGTTTATTTAAAATATTACATACAAACTTTAAATGTTATATATTTAAATTATAAGGATACAACAAATAAATTTCAATTTAATATTCTCTCCAAAATAACTTAGAGGATAATTTCTTTGGCGTTTAAAAAATTAGATAAATATCTGTCTATTTTATTATGAAATAAGTAAATTTTATTTGACAAAAAAATTATTAAAATACATAAACATTCTAATTGGTGTTTTAATTTATAGATAAATACATCAAAATTGTTAATGTAGTTAAAAATTATTAATTGATGATGATATAACATATAATTTTGATTGGTTTAATATTCTTTCATAATATGAGCAACAAGCAAATTATAGAAAATTAAAAACTGTTGATATATCATAAATGTTATATACTACAAATTGAAAACAAACACTCATACAGACGTAAGTCTATGCAATCATTATATTTTTGTGTTGTGAAAATTTATATATAACTATTCTATTAAAAGAACACATATTCTTGGGTTCACCCCCTAGGGTGAACCCTTTAGGTTCACCAACCAATAGGATGGTGTTATTTAATATTTGATATCTTTTAAAAAAGGAAACAAAATCTTGTCAAGTTATATTATGTTTTTAAAATAAAACTAGAAAAAAATAAATAAGAATAATAATATTTACAAAAAACGAAATATATTCTTTAAAAATATATTTTAACATTATATTATGTGTTAAAATAAAAGATAAAACAGTAATAATTGCAAAATACGATTTAAAACAAAAAATCTTTTAATATATCTTTAAAATAAAAACATGTGTTTAAAATAAAAAAGATAAAAATAAATAAAAACAGTATAATTGATTAGTATTAATTTACCCAAGGGTTAAGATTTTTCCAAAGGGTTTATAATTTGCCCAAGGGTTTAGGGTTTAGGATTAGGGTTTAGGGTTTAGTATTAGGGTTTAGGGTTTAGGATTATGGTTTAGGGTTTAGGGTTTTAGTATTAAATATTTTTTTAAGTTTTATTTTCGTTTTTTTAATATTATTATTTTTATTTATTTTTTGTATTTTTATTTTAAAAATATAATATAACTTAACAAGATTTTATTTCCTTTTAAAAAAGATATCAAATATGAAACAACACCATCCTATTGGTTGGTGAACCTAGAGGTTCACCCTAAGGGGTGAACCTAAGAATAACTCAAGAAAGAAACACTTGTGCGGGTGAATAAATCAAACTCTAGTTCATATTAATATTAATATTTTGGAGAATTGGTAAGAAAGAGATGTTTATGTCACGGCCTTGTTTAATGTATTTCTGAATCTGAAAGAATCAACGTAGTCAAGAAGACAAAAAGATCGACATCCTTTTTGGATCACTCTTCCCTTTGTGTCGGTATCCTATCGGATCAACGACCATATATTTATATGTCACAGCCGCTGCAACAATAGGTATCAGAGACAAACCATTCCTACATCATTCTGCCTATAAGAAACCTTTGAAACAAAATGTTGAAGCCCTCCACGAAGAACTGGCTAAGTTCCAACAAGATTGAAACGCCTAAATTTTTTATGGTACTTATTATTCAAATCATATGTTTCCTTTCCCTCTTGTAATCCCATGTATGAAGAAATAGTAATTTTAAACTGTTATTTTTATTTATTTAATAGGATTACACAGTTGATGCCATAAGGATATAATAGAAGTAGAAGTAATTTAAAACTCCCAAGAGTCCATTACTGTTTCATGGCTTTATTTCTTCTATGCCTTCATTCCCACTACAGAGAGTAAAAATACCATTATATACTTAATTTATGATCAATTCTATAAAATAGTAGCAAACTTTAAATTTTGAAAAAAATCAAAAATAATCACTTTTGTTTATTTATAATAATGTTTAATAGTAAGTAAATTTAAATGATATTGACCTGGATATACAGTATATTTTAGTATGAATATTTATTAATTTAGGTTTTTAACTCATGTGATTTTATTAATATTTTTATATCTCTGTAGCAAAAATATTAAAACCATTAATTACAAAATTTTCAACCTGAGATTCTCAATAGTTTTAATAATTTATAGTCATTTTTAAAATCTGATGCAAATTTCAAAATTAAAATATGAATGTCTTAATACTTTTAATGCAAGTTTTAATATTTATGTATTTTTATATGGCATAGTGTTTAGTTTAAACGATAGTAATATATGTATATCTGTATATATGTATAATTTGAATATCTATTAAATAAGATTTCATATTCTTATGATTTTATGATCAGTTTTATCTTGTTATAACAAAAAATTAAACTGTTGATCACAAAATTTCTAATGTGGGATTTTAACAGTTTTAGTAATTTATAGTCGTTTTAAGAAATTCAAAATATAACATAGAAGAAAAAATATAATATTTTAATTAATGTTTAATATGATTTTTAATTTATTTTAATAATATAAATTAAACAAAAGTAATGGAGGATACAAAATATGTTATCAAATATTTAATATTATTAATTGTCATATATATATATATGAATAATATTAGGTAATTTCGTAACTTTTATTTAAAGAAAAAAAATGAGAGTATTGTTTTCTACACTAGTAATTAATTTGGTAGTTAGTTTAATAAAAAAATATAATATATGTTTAGATTGACCAACCTATTTTTCTAAGATATTTAAGAATCATTGTGACATTTAAGAATCATTGTAATCATGACACATGACTATTTCAAATGTTGTAATTCTTCTCAATTAATATATAAGTGATACAAATATATAATATGTCTAAAATAATATCATGTATTTCCAAAATAATTCTCTTGAGGACTATATACCAACTGTTATTTGTTAAAAACATTGTGATTATATAGATGGAAAGCAACATTTTGTATCACATTTGATCGGACAGATATTTCAATCAGATCAAATTTTCACTCGGGCTATTCACAATATTTCCACTTTTAAAATAAAAAAGTTATTCGATAATTTACGGCTTTAAGCAATCAGTTGTTCACTTGAAATTGAATCGTAGTCATATTATTAAAACTTAATCTCAAAATATATTCGTTAATAAAAAAGAGGACATGCATTTTTTATAGTTTGAAAATATCTCAATTATCATAAATATACATTTGTTTTGATATATTTCAACAAAAAAAAGATCATCTTTTTTTTTCAAAAAATCATTAAAAACGATACCTTTTGTTGGTTGTAAGCCAAGGGCATCCACGGTAACAATTCTGGAGGCATTTGGACGGAAGCGCGCCGGTGGTGGCACAACCTTGAATGCAATCTTCACGGCATTGTCGCAATGTTTCTCCGCTGACATTTTCCATTGCCATTATCATAGCCACCACAAAGACTATTGCAATCATTGAGTTCCATTTTGCACCCATATCTTTTGATCTTTTTTTTTGTTTCGAATATGTTTTTTTTACTTTTTGCATGTGAGAGGTCATGAACAACCACCATGTATTTATAAAATATATTTTTTCTTCATCCTATCCTTAATATTCCTTTTCCTTGATATAGGAAGTAGCAAATTGTTTGACCAAAAACAAGGAAATAGCTACAATGATAATGGAAGGTTGACTAGATTGTTTGACCTGAATTGTTTTTAATCATGAGATAGATTTGAGGTGGCTCGAGGATTTTAAGAAAGGAGGTTGCCTTTGAAGAGTGGGTGGGCAAAAGAAGAACGGAAAATTTGTTTTTTGGATAAAAATTATAACATTATTCCATTAGATTAATTCCAATATATAATTGTTCCATTAGACTAAAGCAATTTGATTTGCCTATTATACTCTTAAGGTTAACTTAATTTAAAATTTAAAACTAAATATATATGTTTTAAGATAGAAAAGGGGAAAATCCCCAAATTATCTAGGGAATATGGAAAGATAATATTTTGAAGAAGGCGTAACCACGATTTTTTTATTTATTGTTCAAAAATTTGATTATTGTAAATATGGAAAGATAATATTTTCAAATATTTTCATAAATTCACTTTCCATGTTTTCGGAACTATTCATACTTATCTCTGAAGATGTATTCTACTATATGTAAAAAACAGTTAAAGTGTTTGAACTCTATTTTTACATATATTAGATTCTGAGACGATTATAGATTTTGCTTATTCTAAAAAATTTAGAGATATAGATTAATCGTAGAATATATTTTCAAAATATATTTAGATAACTTACATTTAAGTACATAACTAATTCTAAGAAAAGTAGTTTCATAAACATAATATGGACTTCGATTTATAGAACCTAAAAATTGCCATCGTAGAAGAAAAAAAACTGAAATTTTTATCTAACAAGTCTTAGGACCCAAAATATCACTATATTGGTATAAGTATTTCTTCAACTGTTCATATTTTTCATAATATTTTGGTGTTCAAAAATATTTCTTTTTATTTAATTCGGAAAATAGAAAGGAAATTATAGGCAAAAACGGCACAAATTTAGTTTTAGCCTAAAAGGATAATGCATGTGTTTTTTAGCCCAAAAGAACATTTTTCCCAAGAAACAAACCGAACACCAACTCAACTGAAGTTAAACTGACCCAAGTCAAACCGTCTTTACATAATCCAATTGATTCATGTTTTACTCCACCCGAATGGTTTGGATTGGTTCACTTTTAAACCGAACCAAACTAATAAGTAATAACCCAACATGTTACATAACTAAAAGATTATATAATACTAGTAGTTACCCGGTGCTACGCACCAATCAATTTACTGTTCTAAAATGATTATTATCATAATTTCAGTTAAAATAAATTATTATATTGATTTATTAACTTTATTCAATGATTTTGCACTGAGTTAAAAATACTTAATTTAACAAAATAAAAATTTGGATGTAATGCTTCTTTTAAATTGTTGTTAGAAGTACTTTAAAAAGCAAATTAAGAAATTTCAAAATTAATTACAGAAAAAAGATTAAAATTATTTTGTAAAAATTAAAATGTAAACAAAATTATTGTTTACCTAAAATTCTGAATCGTCATATATTTCGCAACTCTATCCAATCCGTTCGTCTACAACTTCTACCAACCTTACTCTAAAGAACCTTCTTTATTTTTGATGAGAAGGCAAATTTTGAGATTTCTCGGCTTAACGACTCTTCCACGTTCCCCATGCTACTCGGGTCAGAGCATAAGCTAGTGATGCTTTTGGCTATTGGACTCTCGCCATCTAGGGTGCGTCACTCAACCGCTTCGCCTAGCAGCACGACGCTTTTATTGCTCTCCCACAACCCCGTTTTACGGTTTCGGCTGCTCCCATTTCGCTCGCCGCTACTAAAGGAATCGCTATTGCTTTCTTTTCCTCTGGCTACTAAGATGTTTCAGTTCGCCAGGTTGGAACATATTTCATCCAAACTTTTTTTTGATTGCTCTTATATTCTTTTTAAAGTTTTGAGTTCTCATACATGTCTGCCGCAAACTAAAATAATCTCAAAACTTGAAAATACAAAGATTGTTTCTTGAATTTTACCCAGATTTTGCAAAATCAGTTTTATGTGAACTCGTTAGCAGTTATGTTTACCTGTGAATTTTGGAAGATGTGCAGCAAAATCTTTGAGGTTCGACTAATCTCTCTAGAATCCCCATGACAGTATCCATATCTTCCCAGTGAAATTCAAACCCGACAGCCACAATATGCTTTTAAAGCAGTTGTATTCTGCTATATCAATCAAGATATACGTTTTCTCAAAATCTGTTGATAATTAATTGGTGCAGATACAGAAGTTATAAGGGAAATTTGCCAAAAGAGGACCGAAAAACACAACTATTGTCCCCTTAGAATAAAATCAAATTTTGGTACTTTTGGACCTTCGCTACCCTTTTTGTATATAAAAATTCAAAGTAAAAAATTTACAAGGTAAAAAATTGAGAAAAAAAATATACAACATGAAATAGAGTAGCATGTGAATATATGAAAAATATTTTTAGATTCGAAAAATGTTTGGAATAGTAATTTCAAAAATTGGATAAATCGGGTAGTAAATCAGATCTACCATCTACGGCTGTTTAGAGTGTACAATCTACTAACAACTAATCCATCTAAAGAAATGCGTAATACACCAAAAACATATACATCTATGATTGAAGAATATGATAACTGACATTCCTTCTTTGTTATGCAGTTTTAGTAGAACATAACATATAATAAAGACCCTTGCGTCTACCTTGGCAGAACATATCTTCTTAATTTTAATGTTTTGTCTAGGCCCGTGGGATTACGTTTCCACTGGTTAAACTAATGGAAAATTTGGTAGAATGTATCTTCTACCAACGGTTTATGAGCCACCATCCGAAAATCTAGCAAAATCTGAAAGTAAATATTCTCTAAATATTTTTATTTCTTTTTTTAATATATTTTCCCTTGAACGTGGGTCTCTCTTCTTTCATTTAAACCTCTGTTTTTTGAATGCTTTTTATGCATAAACCTCTGTTTTTTGTTTTTCTGCAAGTTATCTTTCATATTCATGATCCGTTTCATGTTGATTTTAGCAGTGTTTTTGATTTATATTGAATTTAGATGTCTTTGAAACATGTCAATAACACTAGAAATCCATTACTTGTTCTTATTCAATGTAGATAAAAATAGAAAAACATTACAAAATATCAATCAAATTTGGAACAGAGACATAAAATACTGAGAATGGATCCTACACAACCAACATCTCGAGAGGCTTTATGCTTCATAACTTCTTCTTCCACCATCTTCAACGAAACACGCAGATCTTCAATTTCTTCTGCCATGAACGCTTGATGGTCATCCATCTTTTAAATCTCTTCATACAGAGCCTCATCCACCCACTTAAAAAGATGTTGCTCTTTTTTTCTCTGATTCGGAACATAAAACAAATTAAGTCTCAACACAGAAGAATTGATAAATATTTATATATGACATTTACCTGTAAAGCAATCTCACATCTGAAGAACCGTCGGTATGGATTCTCATCTGTTTTTGAAACGTAAGTGACAATCCCCCTCCCACACCAGCATCTGCGAGGGATTCCTTCAATGTTGTTCATGTTCGTCATATTTCTCGAAAAGAAGAAAGAAAGACGATGAGGAAAAGTGGCCAAATTAGGGTAGATGTTATACGTAAGTAACTCTCAAATTAGGATAGAGGAAGGAAGAAGAAATATTTTTTTCATCCACACAAAGCAACAGTTCGCTTTAGGTCAGTGGAATACAATATGGAAAAAGATCCATTAGGTAATGGGCTCGAATCCCAGTAGTAACAACATTTTTTTTAATTTTTCGTTACTCAGGCAGGGTTTAGGGTTTCATTATTGTTTAGGGTATGGATTTACCAACATTTTTGTAACATGATTTTTGTTCTTTTAAAAGATGATTACTATATAACATTTACATTTTATTATTTTATTAACTTTAAAATCTGCAAAACTATAAAATAGTATTTATTTCTAACAAAGTACAAAGATTCAAATAAGAGATAGGAGTTTAGGATATGGTTTTTTGTCACTGTTTCAAACTTAAATGATATTGTATTGCTCTCTGATTCAACTTACACTGTCAACGATTGATAAACCCTATGATTTGCATTGTTAATTTTCGTACAAAATCCCTAAAAAAACCTTTTTGTAAATCGGTAATCAATATTCAGAGCTTCGAATGAAAAAAAATACTTGTATACCAGGAGGTTCAAACCCAGGTTTAGAGGGAGAAAGTAGAGGTAGTTTACCAACAGAGTCATTGTCATTCATTGTTAATGCTCTCATACTATAAATATATATCGGCTTTCTGAAAATTTTAAAAATTTAAATACTAAGGACTAAATTGGATTTTCATTATAGTTTATTCTAAGGGGACATGAATCATGAAATTTATTCTAATGGGACAATAGTTGTGTTTTTTAGTCCTCTTTTGGCAAATTTCCCAAGTTATAAAGCAACCCGTGAAATCAAAATTGTAAATCAGAAGAATGGTTTTCAGTGCTGTCCCATATATTTTGGTGGCTTAAAGCATGAAGAAAAAATGTGGCCCTTATAAAATAATTTAATATATTAAAATACTATTCAAAATATAAAAATGACAACAACTTATAATATATCAATAAAATATTATTTCTGAAAAACAGATCTTCTAGCTTTTCTTCCATCAAATTCGTTCATAATCTTTTCGTAATCAAGTTTATCAACCATATATTTTTCAATTGATATCATTGATAACCCATTCAACCTCTCTTGTGACATAGTAGATCGTAGATAGTTTTTTATCAACTTCAGCTTAGAAAAACTCACTACAAGAAAACTCGTCCATTACTAGGACGGGTTTTCTTCGTTAGTTCCTAGTAAATGGCCTTTTACTAGGAACTTACGAGGAAACGCGTTTCCTCGAAACACGTTCATCGTAA